AAAAAAAAAAAAAAAAAAAAGTTACATGAATATAAATGCAGAATCAAAAAGAAAACGCCAGCCATCAAGTCAACTCTGACTCGTGGCAGCCCTTCAGGACAGGGAGGCTGGAAGCGCTCCACAGGGTTCCTGAGGTTACAAATCTTTACGGGAACAGACAGCCTCAGCCTTCTCCCTCAGAGTGGCTTGTGGGTTTGAACGGCTGACCTTTTAGCTAACAGTCCGATGCTTAATCCAACGTGCTACCAAGGCTCGACAAATAAGGAGACTTTTTTACGTGGTAAAAAAGGACTTCTGAGGGAGGTCAACAGACGGACATGAAACTGTGCGGTGAATGGAGACTTGTGATTGGCCAGCCTCCCTTCTGAGGTTGAAGGAGAGCCAGCAGCAGGAAGGAACTTCACACCCACACCTTCCAACACTCCCCTTAGGCTTCAGGGGAGCCATGTACACCACTGGTCCCACATTCCATCGACTGAAACGACAGCCAGGAAGCACCCAGGAGGAGAGGCAGCCCTCAGACTTCAGCACCCCGGTGTCATAAATGAGTGGTAAGCAGTGCAGAAGCTGCAGTTCAGGCTGGCTGATTAACGTAAAATTTTCAGACATTACAAACCATCAGATTCTAGGTGCGACACCATTCTACTGCACACACTCATTGAATAACCACGATGCAATGAACTACAGTGTCCCTGGATGGCACAAACAGTATGACTTTGACTTCCAGCAGAAAGGTGTGGCTCAAGCCCACCCAGAGGCACCTAGAAGAAAGGTCTGGCAATCTCCTTCTGAAAGGTCACAGCCGGGAGAACCCTGGGGTGCGGTTCTACTTTGCACATATGGGGTCGTCTCTGTAGTTACCACCAACGCTAAAAAGTAACTATGTCAGAGTTTCCCTAGAGTTCCCTCAGACGGCTGAGTGTTCCCCTGTAACAGAATCTCGCTTCAATCAAAGATGTCTTAGGGATCCGTGAAAGGCACTGTACACAGGAACAGCAACAGGCAACTAGGAGCCTTCATGTCTTGTTATGCTGAGTATTAAGCTGGAATCTGGCTCGAAACGAAGAGCGTGCTGGGGATGCGATCTCTCTCCACCATTATTCACTGTCTGGCTTCCAAGGAGAAACTTCATGGCAGTCCACTGCGCCGTACGCGGCGTTAGATGCACCTGCCGGAATCTGCGGGGTTTTGCTCAGCAGAGGTGGGGCACTCAGAACACGAGGGGTCCACATGGAATGTGCCTGCTGCCCTCTGTGCTGGGCTCCTGATGTTGGAAGCAGCCTCATCATTCAGAGCACAGTGTCAGGACGGTGAATGTTTGGGTGCACACCATACACCACCACCCTCCGTAACCTGGGGGGGGTACTGCTACCCACCTCACAGAGCTGTTATGAGGACTATGTGGCGATCGCTCAGAACGGTTAGGGTTAGTGAAGCAGCTCCTACTATCTGGGCTGGGCTGCTCTTGCGCATCACTTCTACCAACAACCGAGGTCACGCTCTCAGCTCGAAACACGACTAACCTGTTCCCTCCTCCCCTGTGCTGACTGATGGAATGAGGCCCACCAAACTTACAATTATTCACCAGAACATTAAGTGTAGGCATCTTCTCCCCAACATGTCCTCAGTCCACTGGGATTCATGGTGCCCCCGTGTGGCTCACACTAGAACTGAGCTCACAGGGGTTACCAGGGCTGGTGTTTTAAAGGTAGAATTCCAGAGAAGAGGGAGGTTGGCAGATGAATGATGAAGACGTGTGAATACACAGGGAGGTAGAGGTAAGCACTGCTAACTATACAACCCTCAACACAGGCTGCAATGAAAAGTGGGAGAATGCCCACAAATAAACAAAGATATGAAAGAGATTATTTGTACATGGGGAGAGCGTGGTGGCTCCATACGCCAAGCCCTGGACTGCAAACCACCAAACGCTCTGTAAGAGAAAGATGAGGATTTCTGCTCCGGAGAAGACTTAATGGCCAAGTGCAAAGTATTTGCACCCCCCACCCCCAGAAACCCAGTGTGTGCACAGATGTGCTTTTCTGGGAGAAGATTTGTAGTTTTTCAGATTCTTCAAGGGACTCATGAGGGAAACAGAGGTTAGGATCGCCGTGAGTTAGAACAGACTCAACAGCACCTAATACCAAGCACCCCCGAGTCTGAGTCTAGCTGTGGGTTTCCTGTGCTGCCCACCATCCTCTCCACCCTAGCGGCCACCACAGCCTTCTCCTCGCTCCAGAAATGCTGGCTTCCACCAATCCTGAGAGAACTGCGTAGCACCATGTGGACGCTCCCTGGCCCTTCACTCTCATGTCTGACTTGAGTTCCCAGGCGTCCTGCCTACACCTGTGGGCTCTGGTACCAGTCTGCATGTCAGTGCAGGCACACACTGACGTGTGATCCCCAAGGGCTGATCTGTAATCCCAAAGCGATCCCACTTCATGCTCTGGTAGACTAATGGTCACAGAGAAAGAAATGCAGCGAAACTAAGGGCAGGACATGAGGTAGCTGTGTCCTTGTCTCAGAGGGTAGAGGAAAGGGCGTGGGGACGGCCATCAGCTCACCTAGAATCGGGGCATTGTGAGTCCAGCCTGCACTTGGGCCTTTAAGCCCACCGCGCCAGCCCCTAGACTTGCTGGAAGTGAAACTCCACGTTTCAGAGACTGACTCCACGTCCCCATCTCAGGCTCTGAGCCCGAGGAGGGAGCTCTGATGGACCTCTCCCATCTCCTGGATGTGGCGGTGTTGTCCACACTGGAGGGATGCCCATCGGTATCACCGAGCTGGGGACAGGCCAGGAGTCTCTTCTGGGTGTGTTTGTTTGCTTGCTTGCTTTTTGGAAGAGAATGTAAATTTATAAGAGATTGAAGGACTTGCCGAGAAACAGAAAAAAACCACTGCTGTCCAGTCTTCCTCCCAGAGTGGCTGGGGGGTTCAGGCCACGGCTGTTCCGTTAGCAGCTTTAGCCACTCTAAGGTCCCCTTACAAAACGGTGGCCAGGCAGCTTCCTGGTCCCCCAGCTTGCCCGCGTGATGTGACGCTGTCTGCTGGTTTAGAATGCAGGAAGTGCTCTCACCCACATCTCGGTCGCAGCCTGGTGCCCACAGCCCAGAGCTGCAGGAGAACAGGAGAAACCGATTCCTCCCTCCCGGTGTTGAACAGCCCGGGCTCACCCACAGGACCACCGGCTGCTGTCCACTCCCACTCACAGCGCCCACCTGGGTCCACTGGCTGGCTCATCAGGGAACATGCCAACTCAAACCTCAGACCTCTCATCAATATGTACTCGCCACTGCCCCTCTCCCTGGTGTCTGTCTGTCTGTCTGTTACACACTAGAACATCTGTGGACGAATACCTTCCTCCGTGGAAACCCACAGAACGGCATTTGTGTAACAAAATGGGTAAAGCCTCACAGGGCAGACTTTTGTAGATATCTAAGGAGGCGTCTCCTTTCAGATTCACACGTGTTCTCACTCAGTGTGTGCCCTCTGACACATGTGGGGTCGCCACACCATAGTCCTCAAGGTCCCTGTGTAAAAGACTCGTGGCTCGCATTGGACTAGATAGAGGCTGAAGGTCTGAGCCCACTCCATAGCGAGCTGTTCTGGGAAGACTAGAGCCCAGGCGCCTACGGAAAGCAGTTCCACTTGGTAACATAAAGGGGCGCCAGGGGTCAGAACCGACTTGGTCTGTTTGGGTATCCGCACTGCGAATGTGTAACGCGCAAAACGTCAGGATATTTTCTAGTGGATAACAGCTCTCGTGAGAGAGAATAAAACATGACAAACATCATGCAGAAAAATACACATCTTTAGAAACTGTTTTTAAGTGACCAAAACAAAACAAAAAAAAAGCCAAATGTTTTCTGCCCTCAGAGACTGAACTCTGGAGTAGGATTGGGAACAGGTGTAGGATAATGTAACAGGACATTATATTAGGTCTTGAACAACATGTTTCTTGGCCATCAGTCCTATTAATTGTATTACAAACAGTCATCCAGATAGGAGATGACAAAATGATGCTCTGTGGACACAGGTCCACTTTGGGATTCCGGAGAGGCATGGGACAGAAATGAGACTCCACAAGTGAGCCACCTGGCCCGGCTGGGCTCCATAGCCAGGGAGGCCCTGTCTGTGCTCTCACCTGCTGCAGAAAAGGGAGGACGATGTCTCAGGTGTGGGTTTTTGAAGGTGGATGAGGGAGGCTTCCTTGAGGGAGAAGAGCTATGCCTCCTGTTTTTAATTTTCTGTCTAAAACTGGCCAACTGACCACTGCTTCCAAGTAAGTGCTACCAATGGAGTTTCCATCCATCATGAACATTCTGACCCACAGGAAGTGAAATATGCCAAACTACAACAAAGGAACCTGATAGCTACATAATCAACTGCTTCAACACCCCCTTCCAACTGTAGGTACGCCTGCATATTGCAGTGTAGAGTTGCGTGGGTTTCAATTCACAGGCAATGTCTGGGATGCACGTCTTTGGAAATAATGACCTCATCATTGGAAATTATTTGCAGGCAGGAAAAGGAGAAGTAGGCAACTTACACCTAGCAAAATCTGAAGGTTTGAAGTAAGAGCTCAACGCAATCAGATCTGGTTTCCAGTGATCACGGCACCCCTTAGGACATATGAGCACTCCTCTGGGAGTCCCTCCCAAACCCCAAACTCCTGAGTAGAGAATTCTTTTCCTCAAGTGCCAGGACATACAGCTGCTCAGAACACAGGCGTGAGCGCCACACTGGGCTCTCAGCCAAGTCAGCGGCAAGCTGCACGCTCCCCAAGACCAAAGGCGACTCTTTGCGGGGCATTTCCTGATGTGGGGGCCAGCTGGAAGCAGAGAGTGGCCTCTAGTTTTGTCCCCCACTTACCGGCTGCAGCAGGCAGACGAGGGACTCCTCTTGGATGATAGTGACTGGCAGAGGGGTGATCCTGCTGGCTTGAAACAGGGTGTTCACCGATGCCATGATCTGGTCAAAGCGGCTGGCCAGCCCGCCCAGAGTCACGATCATGTCCACCTGAGCAGGAGAGCAAAGCCATGAGTCAGTCAGTACGGGTGGACTCAGGGTTTTCCAGACTGTCAATCTTTGTGGGAGCCCACAGAGCTGCTCTAGGTGGCTGTGAACCACCGACCTAGCACACCGTGCCACCAGGGCCCCTCGGGTCACCTGTGTAGAGCAGCCCAACTCCGGTTATCCTAATGTGTCCTATGTGGTAAGCTGAACACTGTCTTCTCTGCAGTGCAGTTCCTCTCCAAGGCCCGTGGGACAGACGGACACGGACACACACACACACACACACACACACACACCCCACCCCACACCCCCACAGTGCCTGCTCACTGCTCACCTCTCCCTATGGGTCTCAGGGCGGTTTGACCATGGGCTGGCACCAGTAGGGAGCCTCTGAGGACCCTGCCCAGTATAGCAGCTGACCACAGGATCTTAGCTGCTTCTTGGTTTCACGTGTGAAACCCCAGCCAAGTTAAACCCACAGCATCAAGTCTGTCTGACCACATGTCAACTTCCCCTCCTAGTGGCCCTGCGGAGCCCAGCAGGACTGCCCTGTAGGATTTCTGGACTGCCAATCTTTAGGGAAGCACACTGCCTCAACTTTCTGCTGAGGAGAGGCTGCTAGGCTCCAACAGGCAAAAGATTTCATCACTGCCCCACCGGGTTCCTATTTAGATGCAAACGCCGCTTAACACAGCTGACTGGCTGAGAGGTTTGCTGTGGGGTTGAATTTGTTAATGAGCAATAAACACTGAGAATTGGGGGGGGGGGCTGTACCTCAGAAACCACTCCAGTCGGATACCTCCTCTCACAGCTCCTGTCACACATCCGTCACATTTAGTCTCGTGTGTGACTCATTAACTCTTGACAGGGCGTGCGTCCTATGAGGAAGGCAGCTCTCAGGGTGGTCTCTGTGAAGAGGGAGCTGGGGCGGTGGGCAGCTTCCTCCTGCAGGTTCACCTCCTGTCTCGGTCACGGTGGTCACAGGTTGGCCATTCCCACACTAGTTGTAATGTTCCATCTTGCTGTACCACTCTTCATGAACTACAGTGTACTGAGGGACCGACTAACTTGTTCTACGAAGACTTGCCACAAACCTTCAAAGCGTAAAAAAACTCCACATCTCAGAAGAGCAATAGAAGGGCTGACAGCTACAGGAACTCAGCCCGGTAAAGCTGGTAAAGCTGAACATGGGTTTACAAATGGGGGGGTGGTCTGGGCTGGGAGGCTTTAAACAGTTCACAGAAAAGCCCGAACGATGTCCGCAGGAACTCAGGAGAGCAGACTGCGGCCCAGGCAATGCACAGGTGCACACAGGGACAGGTGCCTATCCTCAAGGTGAGGGCCCCTGGTGAACCACGAGGTTCCATGTGGGCCTCGGGACACCTGCAGAGAGGCAGACAATAAGAGTCAGCGGGCCTATGCAGCACAGAAGGCTGAGAGAGATCCTGTCCAGGCTGCCTTGGAACCCAGGCCCAAGGATGCTGTTTCCGCGAGTGTTGATAGTTGATCCAAGAAGAATAAAGTCCTTGACAACTTCAATCTTTTCTCCATTGATAAGAATGTTGTTTATTGGTCCAGTGGTGAGGATTTTTGTTTTCTTTACATTGAGTTGTAATCCATATGGAAGACTGTGCTCTTTGATCTTCATCAGTAAATGTTTTAAGTCCTCTTCACTTTCAGTAAGCAAGGTTGTACCATCTGCATATCTCAGGTTGTTAATAAGTCTTCCTCCAATCCTGACGCCACGTTTTTCTTCATAAAACCCAGCTTCTCGTATTATTTAGTCAGCATACAGATTATAGACAAGAAAAAAAAAAACAAAAAACTTAGCTAGAACCAACTTAGTCATCATCATCCTCTTCTCTCCTTTTCTTGCTTTTCTCAGCCTTAACAGCTCTCTCTTTGGCTGCATCAGACTTTCCTTTAGCCAGGTAAGCAGCAGCATCCTTCTTGTACTTCTTCAGGGAGCGGCCTTCTCCTCCTGAGGTTGGTTGTTATCAGCAGTGGCGTTAGTCCGCATCTCTCCCACTGGGTACCAGGCCAGGATGCTCGCTCACCTCTGAGCTTGGGGCAATACTAAGAAAGAAACAAGAAAGCTTCTTAGCTCTGAGGTTCCTGGGCTTCTGGTTCTCTCCCCTTTAGGCGGGATGTAGGTTTTCATTTCTCCTTGATAAGGACCCTTGGCCATCTTTGCCAGGTCTTCTGTTTTTCCTTTAGCAGACATGGTCTCCCACCGCTCTGAGCACTTCTTGGAAAATTCTGAGACGTTGGCTGAAGCGTCCACGTGTTTCTTCTTGAGCTCCTCCCGGTAAGCTTGCACAAAAAATGCGCAGGATGCTATTTTCCTCTCGGCTTCTCAGCATCTACTTTGCCCAAGTTTAGCTGTTTTTTTGTCCACGGGGCAGAGTCTGCCCAGCACTGCCCACTCACTGGAGTTGATCTGGACTCGTGTTGTTGTTGTGTGGTGTCAAGTCACTTCCGACTTACAGCGACCCTGCACATCTGATGGGTTTGAACTCCTGACCTTGGGGTTAGCAGTCCAGTGCTTGTCCTACAGCGTGACACCAGTGCCAGTACTTCTGATTCAGTGACCCTACAGAGGATTTCCAAAGCTGTAAATCTCTATAGGAGCAGACACTCTTATCTTTCTACTGGCAGAGCAATGGGTGAGTTTGAACCACTGTCCTTGTGGTTAGCAGCCAGACACCTAACCTACATCACAAGCAGGGTTGAGTCCCTGAAGTGCTGCCCCCACACACTGCTGGGCAGCGGGTCCCTCCTCCAGCAGAGCCCACGGGTGTCATGGCCACGAGGCCCCTGCACAAGTTATAGGGTCCAGCAGGCAGCGTGCATTCACTGATGGAGCCCTGGTGACGCGCTGGTCAAAGTGGCTCTGCAGGGAGGGCCTCACAACTGCTCCTGTAAAGAGGAAGTCTGGAAGACCCTGTGGGGACAGTTCTAGTCCTCATCCATGCCGATCAACAGGTATCTACTAGGGTCCCCAAGTGGAGAAAGCTCCAGGAAAGTAGCGATTCCCACACAGGCATCCCTCAGGTGCCTGGCTTCCGGAACTCACTTCTTTCAGGTTCATTACCTCAGATGGTCATTTGACCCCTTGATTGAGCCTCAGGCACAAGCTGGTGACAGATTAGGATACCCTGCCACATGACACAGGCCTGGCTCCTTTCCAGACACCGAGGCTGCAGCCCAAAGCCGTGAGGCTTACATGCAAGCAGGGTAAGGGGGCTGTGTCGCAGGAGAATGACGGAGCAGGGCAGGACTGAAGGTGCTCTGGCCATGAAGGAGCGCCACCTACACCCAGGCACCACCAAGTCACCGCCATCTCAGGGCGACCCATGTGCGTCACAGAACTGAGCTCCACACAGCTGGTTCCTGGGCACCATCAAGTCATCCCGGTGACCCATGTGTGTCACAGACCTACTCCACATGGCAGGTTTGCGGGAGCACATCACCACACCTTTCCTTCTAAGGCACCTCTGAGTGGACTCAAACTTTTCAGTCAGGAGCTGAACACCGTCAGCATATGCAGGTAGCAGGTGGCCAGCTCAAGGGACATGTCCCTGAAACAGGATGCATGAGCACGCCCACACATACTGCCCTGCTCAGTCTCTCATACATAAAACAGAGCCAATTGAGGGGTTTCCGTAGTTCCTTTCCCTCAGGTCAGGCTGTGTCCGTGGACTGTTAGTAGGGGTAAGAGTTACCGTCAGCAGTGCATAAACCGTCCTGCTAACAGAAAGGAGTCCTGGCACCCTGAATTATGTACAGGGGTCAAGTGAAGGGTGGCACCCGCAGACACAGGTCATGGGTCAGTGGTGGTATTCCTAGGCTGCTTCAAGACCTCTTTCAGCTCCAGCAGTCTGTGAGTCTGTGGGATGCTCTCTGGCCCCCAGCGTAAGGATCTCAGGAATAAATAACCATCTGTATTCTGTTTAGGAAACAGATGAAATGCTTGGCTTTGCATTATTTGCCTTAATAGAATCCTGACGAGAGATAGGTCACAAATGGGAGAGGCAACTGCCTTCTCTATTACGACAGTAAACCTCTCTTGGCAAACCAGTGACAGGCTGCCCGCAGCCAAGGGGTACACAAACCAGTGACAGGCTGCCTGCAGCCGAGGGGTGCACAAACCAGTGACAGGCTGCCCGCAGCCAAGTGGTGCACAAACCAGTGACAGGCTGCCCGCAGCCGAGGGGTGCACAAACCAGTGACAGGCTGCCTGCAGCCAAGGGGTGCACAAAGCAGCAAGCAGCCCCGGGGCTGGCTCCATCCTTCAATCACATTTGCTCCCTGTGAGTCCTGCTCTGTCTGAGTCCTGTTCGTCAAGGGGGACAGTCTATGGTATAGTGGACTTCTGACACTGAACAGGGACATTTTATTAAGAAGAGTGCCAAGTACGCAGGTCTACCCCAGGACTGTCCGTATAAAGGGAGACGACGTCATGGCCATCAGCGTTCCTTTAGCTTTCCTGATGGACTCTGTACGGCACTGAAGGGTGACCGGACCAGGAAATACCTTGACGCTCTAACTGGAATATGGGAGGTGCAGTGAGGGAGGGATGACTCAAGATGGAGGGAAATCACATGAATGGACAAACTGCAGCATCAGAACATGGTTTCGTACACCAGTCTATTGCCACAGGCCTAGTGAGAAACCTGACAGGTTAGAGACTTTGGATTCTGTAGCAGCTTGGATTCTGAGTCATCCTGGCTGCACCCCTGGACAGCTCACAGAACCGCCTGACCCTGAACCCAGTGAACTCACGGGCCCAGGAGGCATCTGTGAATACAGTCTGTTTGCCGTGGACACTTGCGGCCACCCTGGCGTACAGTGAACTAAGGAAGCACTGTCCTCATGGGTGGTCTCACATGGTCTCTCCTTGGCCAGGGCAGGGCCGATGTTCCGCTTCACTCCCCAGACACAGACCCCGCTCCTCACTGCGGAGCCTCCCTCACCACCTGAGTTTACATTCTGGAAAGACGTCTGGTCTCAGGACACACCAGAAGACGAGATACCGCGGTGGCATCCCCTCTCTTAAAAAGCGCCAGATTTCTAGAATTTATTTATAGCAGGGGATTGTCCTAGCCCCTCTGCCCCCTCAAAAAAGACAGCTGGTCTGGACATGATCTGACTTTGTCCAACTGCAAACACACTGTTTGGAAATGTCACGAACGCTTCTGTAGAGAACTTGCTTTCCAAGAATTTTCTCAACGTTATTACTACGGCTGGGGTGGAAAGCTGCAGAGTAAATTCAGGTTCTAGTCAACACTTCATCCACATTTTCTTTGGTGACATTAGCTGCCTCTGAGCGCTGGGGAGGGTCCTGGGAAGCGGCCATCCGTCAGGTGAGCTGTGCATGGACACACAGCACACAAAACCCTCTCGGGGAGGAGTATGAGTTGTGGAGCGAGACGAAGACGGAGGTGTACAGCGAGTCTCAGTACAAGTCACAGAGTATTAGGTGCACACTGTGTCTTCACTGAGAAATGAAGCACCTCGTTTCCAGACTCGGATAGATTGTTGCTAAGCACCATCGAGTCGGTTCTGACTCATGGTGACCTCGTATAGGGTTTTCAAGGTGCATCTGGTGGGTTGGAACTACTGACTTTGTGGTCAGCTGCTCCCAGAAAGATTTTCAGTCCTGGAAACTGTATAGGGGCCATTCGTTTGGGTTTCCACCTCCTGGGCAAGGAGAAGACATTTTGATATTGCACTTGGTCATGAACACAGTTTCCTGATATGTGCTAGACCGCTGTGTCCTCTAAAGGAGACTAACATGCTTACCGTGGTCACAGCCAGTACTTGGCGCATCCTGTAAGGTGTAAGCTTGCTTCCTCTAACATATGTCAACAGAAGAGCTGACCACCTCGTCATCCCCAGCTTATCCTAAGGCTATATCGAGCTCCATTTACGATAGTGCTGAATGTGTTCTGTATCCAGAGCCTCACAGAAAATCGAGTGCAATCCGGGAGACTAGTTCTGGTCCAATGGTAACCGCCCTCTCTGGAAAACAGCTTCCTTTTACTGATAATGTGGATTTTTAAAACAGGGTATTTACAGGTTAATTTGTTGGCATCCTCAGAAGAGGATGGCAGGGAAAGAGAATTAGATGTACTCAGGGCCATCTCAACGCAGGTATCACTGTTTCCTAACATCTTTAAAATACCTTGGTCCAGCCTTCTCCCCAGGAATGACATGCGTTCTCATGTGTGTCTGGAGGTCCAGGTGAGAAGCGGGCTACACATCTTTTCTTTGGCTGTGGCAGGATTTTAGCAGGATTCTGGAGGGTCACCGGCTGCTGTGGGATAGCAGGTTGAGTGTGGATGCTTGCAGGAGCTGGGACTGGGAAGGTAGAGGGTCGTGGAGACTGAAAGGGGTTTCCTCCTTCCAGCCCCTGTGGAAGGAGAAGGGACAGACTGGACTCCTCATGGCCCCAGCTCGTTCTCTAACTTAAGGGGGACTTCCTGAGATACCCAAAGCAGCCCTCGTAGCACTGTGGGTTAAGCGCTTGGTTACTAACCAAGAGGTTGGCGCTGTAAACCAGCAGCTGCTCCGAGGGAGAACCGTGGCTGTCTGCTTTCATCAAGACACAGTCTCAGACACCCCGGAGCAGGCCCCTGTGTCTGCAGCGTTGCTAGGAGTCGGAATCGACTCAATGGTGATGGGGGTGGAGGGGTCCTGAGACAGCCAGCCATCAGCTAGAGCAGAGCTTTCACTGCCTGTCGTCACTGTTGCTAAGTGCAGACCAGTTGGTTCTGACTGATAGCGACCATGTAGAGGGTTCCCAAGGAGCAGCTGGTGGGTTTGAACTGCCGACCTGGAGGTTAGCAGCCCAGTGCTGATCCTACTGAGCTACACTAGAACGTCTGTGTGCGCCTGTGTGTTTCCCAGCTGTCTACTGAAGGACCCCTGAAAACACTGTGGCAGTGCCCCCCACCCCCTCGGTGCTGGGCAGCAGTATCACTTCAGTGCCCCCTCCACCTTCACTCAGCGTCTCCTCAGTCACAGGGACGCCCGCCCCGGCGCACCAACACCACATCTGTGGATGCAGAAACAAGCCGTGTAACCAGCCTGCCACGGCGTGCGAGGAACAAGGACGTTCGTCATCTGTGGAGCAATTCCACTTCGGGTGGGGGGTATTATGTGCACTATCCCATGGGGTCTGCCCTTGAGAAACACATGCCTTCTTTCAGGCCAGGTCTGCGGGCATCCCATGCCAAGTGGGGGGATCAGAGGGGCAGGTCATTGTCTCCCTTAATGAAGACTCATATGAATTCTTGTTGTCACTCAGTGTTTAATCAAAGTGCTCTCTACAGAACAGCCCACCAGCGGAGACTTGGGTTTATCCTTCCCTCCCTCCCCCTGGCTCTTAACCCCCACTAACCTTGAGTCTGTGCTTCCCACATGACCAGGAAGGTTGGAGACAACCTTTTTCCGTCTGTTTTACACAGACCCCGAGACCACAAGATAATAGGTAACAAGTGACGCTTACACCATGAACCTCTGTTCTTTGTAATCCAACAACCCCTGCACTGCCGGAACCAGGAAAGCCGGGCAGTCACCAGGGGATCAGAGCTGGCCAATGGACTGAGTCTCGTGAGAGGAAAGCAGGTCAGCAACAGGCCTCCCTCCCCAGGGACTCTGATGTTCAATGGCAGAAGACTGTACAGCAGACTCTATCCTCTCAACACAACAAACACACCCCACAGAACGACAGTCTCACCTTTTCATCATCCCAGTGCAGGCGCTGGGAAAACTGAGACTACTTGTAAAGGTTTATAATTTTTAACCAAGAAACTCCAAATCAGCTTGGAGAGAACGCTCAGTTGGTCCATTTCTGGTTTCACTTAAAACTGTTCATGGCTGCGAGGTACGGTTCCAACTGGCCCGGTACGTTTGGTCCATCTGAGCCCCGCCACCAGCGATGACAAAGGGGCTTCTGGGTCATGTCTGGAACTTCTCTGCAGCGCACACAAGGACCGCTGGCCTCAGTGCAGTCATTGTGCACCAGAAGATATCTGTGAGGGCCATATGGACGGATCAAGGCCAAGCCCCCTCTGGATGCCCCTGGTGTGGACGGGATGGAGGCGACAGTGAGGACAGCAGTCTGAGGCTGTGTCCTGTGAGGGCGGGCAGTCAGTCGGCGGGTCGTCTGTTTCCTGGTACTTGTGCCATGCGGGGCACTCAGGTGCACAGGCCTTGTCCCTGAGCTTAAAACTGCACATGTGGTCCTGCTTGTCAGCCCAGCTTACTGTCCCCTCCCAGACACAAAATAACTAGACAGACAAGTATCAGGCTAATCTTCAGGGGGACTTGAGTAGATAGAAGAGAGATCAAAACACACAGTCAAATCCAAACTGATGTGCACAGATCACCTGGTGGTCGCCCTCGCAGACCCTCCCATGCAGCACTCGGAGGCACGTGTGTGTGTGTGTGTGTATCCATGTGTGTGTTCTGTATACAGCTCACCTGGTGGCCGCTCTTTATGATCCTCCCCTGTAGCACTTGGAGGCACTTGGTGAAATCGGTGTTGTCTTGGTCAGGAGTTGAAATGAGATCACAGCCCTGCGTTTTGAAGTGAAAGACAATCAGCAATGATTTCAGCTCCCGGGGAAGGCGAGCAGGAACTATCAGAGGACGGCTCAGCTCTGGACAGATGTGCCTGTTACATCTACATTACCCCGTGGTCACCGTCCCCCCACTGTCCCCCTTACTGACGTCACAGGACCCCCAGAAATAGTGTCAGGGTGCTGCAGTCATGGGCTGGCTCTGCCCCTGTGAGGTGATGCTTGAGATTATCATAGGGACGGGCATCATCAGTCACAGTTACAGTTAAACTACCCGAAATGAAAACGAAGCCGCTTCTAAACAGCCTTCCAAGTTCTTCAGGCAGCTCTCTTACGTGCACTTACAAGGATGGAAAAAGTAACACTGACATGGAACTAATGAGAAACCTTAGATTTGAAGGAAGAGCCAGTCAGGCATCACAGCCCTCCACCCCCACCCCCTACACACATACCATGTTCTTCAGCTGTAACGAAGTGGGCTCTATGTACACACACCAGTACGGCAGCCAGCGCCAGCCACTAGTCAGCTCAGACGGCTACAGCCCTGACCTTCTGACACAACCCGTTTTCCTCCAGTGTCTCCCAAGCAGGGGAGCCTACGGGCCCCTCCAGCCTGGAGCAGCTGAATCCGGGGACGTTCAATAGAATCTCCCAGGTGAAAGTGTCGCCAGAATTTCCAAGATACGGAGCGCTCATGTGCCTCTCAAATTATCCTAAGGACCCTTCTCAGGCTACTGAAAGGTTGTCTCTCATTCAAGGTGTTGTAAAGGTGTTGAGCTAAGCTGTCTTCATGCATTCATGACTGTCCGCCAATGGAGGGACCAGGGAGAAAACAGGATTCTTACACTCTATCCAGTGGGCCTCCTTCCCAAGGTCACCCCTGTAAGGGCTCCCGGCCCAAAGAGAACTCTGAGACTGAGTGCCGTCTCCAAGCACACTCGCCCAAGACTACAGGGGGACACAGCATGTCTGAGGGTACACAGGATGGAGAGGTCCCTGAGACCTTGCCCGAGCTCCTGAGGCAGGAGGCTTGTCCAGGTGACATATGCCCTGTGGACTGTCACCTGCTGCCAAGCTGCTCCATGCACAGCGGAACAAACTGCCACCCGGCCCTGTGCCATCTCCAGGGCCACCTGAGAACTGAACCCCAGTGACCCCATAGGTTTTCCCGGCTGAGTTTTGGGAGGAGAATGCCAGGCCGTTCTCCCTAGGTCACCCTCACCTGGAAGATGTCTGGAATAACCTGCTGCTAAGTTCAGCATCACAGAAGACAAGCCTCCATGGACAGACGGGAGATGCACTGGCCAGGAACTGGGCCCAGGTCTCCCCACAGCAGCGAGGCCATTGTTCATTGTTTGGTGGCCACTGAACTTCCCTGATAACAACTTAACGCCAGCCCCGCCCACAGCACTCCTCGCACAGATAAGTTCCAGGGTGGCGTGCATCAGCTGTGGGGTGGCGTGGAGGAAAGCTTTAGCAATGACAGACATCAAAGCTCTGCTTTGTAAAGTTTCCACAACAAGCTGTTCTTCACAACCCTAAACTAACTAGGTGACTTCAAAGTCTCCCTCACGTCTCTGGGTCCAGTCTCAGAGGGCTGGACGTGAACTAGACAGAGAAAACCAGTTCTAGCAGAGAATTGTGGACTTCACTGAGAGATGTGCATACAGTTCTTCACAGCGTCCTTGCCTCCTGGTTTACATATCCCCTTCTGCAGAGGTGCCCTCTGATGCCATGGGGCACACTTCTCTCTGGTCCCACGTCCCAGGCTCCCCCCCCACTTCTCCCCCCACAGTGTGACCATGTTCTAGCATGTTCTCAGTGACAACCCCTCACACTAGGACGTCAGTTCTGTGAAGACGAGGGTTGTCGTAGGCTGAGTTTTCCAGAGAAGCAAAACCAAAGGATATATGTTTATAAAGTCCTTCTCACATGTCCATCATATTGGGAATAGGCCACACCCCCAAGGAAGCATCCCTTTAGCTGATTGGCTACTCATAACCACTCATCAAGGAGCTAACTAGACGTGTATTAGGTTTCATCCCACCGGAAAAAGCACAGCCCAACTGCTAAAGTTCTGGAAATCCTGGCCTCCTTGAGCTGACATAGAAATCTAACCATTGCATGGATGTTTGCCCAGGTTTGCTCATGCTAAGCCAGAGCGACTTGCTCAGCATACTGTAAGCCGATTCTCTGCTGGATGAATAAATGGATGGCTATCCTGGTGTGGCCCTGGAAGACAAGCACACTGTAGTGTTCACCGCGAGATCGGAGGTTCAAACCCACCAGCCGCTCCTGAGAAGCCCTATGCAGGGTCACTTTAAAAGTCAGAACTGGCTCAGTGGCACACAACAACAAATAACAGATATGGACTTGAACAGAACAACTACCTCGGACGCTCCAGGAATACGCATCGTTTTCTTGGGGTCCTCCATACCTAGCTCACACATTTAACAGATCAACTACTTGCATTTTTTCACGTGAGCCAGCCAGCCTTTCTTTGTACTTTGTCCTGAAGGGTGATTCTGTTGCCAAGTGAGATCTCATTGTATTTCACTGTTTTCTAGTTGACTGTTTCTCGTTAACAAGAGTAAGTGAAAAATTGCTAGTGTGTTCTACTTGATACACGCAAGGGGGCTTATTCCAAACAGGTCTGTGATCAGTGAATGGCTACAGACAAGTCCTCGCAGTAATACACTAGTCTAACCCTTCAAAAAGGAAAACATCCAATCAAAACAGTGGGTTCCAAGGAGATGTGTTGGGCCAGTTCAATTCAGCTTGGAAGGTTACGGGGCCTGCTTGACTGGAACTCCAAAGGCTCATCTTGATACATTGTCTTGAAGGACAAAGGACAGTAATAGGGGCTACGATAGAGTCCTGGTGTGGACAAGCAGTGGACCACAAGGTTGGTTTGAATGGCAAGGTCAGTGGTTCAAACCCACAAGCTGCTTCTCGGAAACCTTATACAGGGTTGCTATGAGTTGAAACCGACTCGACAGCACTTAACACAACAACGTTGAATCAGTTTTAAGAAAATGAGGAACTTTTTTGGTGAGAAAAACATCAGAAAAGTTAACCCAAGGAATTTTTTACCATTACAGCAATGCACCTGCCCATTATACCAGGGGAGCAAGGCCTGTCCTATGAAAATTTCCTTGGGAAACCTAACTCATGCACCCTAGAGCCTTGGTCCTGTCCCTTCAGACTTGGTTTTGTTTCCCAAACTCAGAGAACATTTCAAAGGAACGTGCTTTGAGTCCTTTGAGGATGCCCAAACTGCCACTTTGACTAGGTGTCTGTCAGAGAGCTCAGGAGGCTTCAGGCGCGGCTAGGGAGAAGAGCACAGTTCCTTCCTACAGAAGTGTAAAAACCCAGATGGAGGCTACGTCAAGGAAGAACATCACCCTTTGATACTTCTGTTAATAAAGGTTTCCATGAGTTTATAGCAATACTTTTGAACTCATTGTGGTGTGGGGAATTATTTAATATCTCTTCTAGTTGAGGTCTGTAAACTCCCACCACCCACGTTTCCTGTGGGTCTGGGTAAGAGATGGAAGGGAAGATACTGACAGAGCCCATGATTCACTTGTGAGTGGTCATTAGCAGGGCTGACCGTGATTGGCCAATACTGCATCCTGCTGGGTATAAAACGAGCCATCTCAGAAGCAGGAGGGGGATCTCACGACCACCACAGATGAAGAGCTGGAATGAAGCGCATCCTTTGGATCTGAGATGCCTTCCCACGGAACCTCCTGGACCCAGGGACAGAGAGCTGTGACACTAACGGCGTGACGGGGGCAGCAGAGCCCGGGACAGAGCAGTGGGTTTCCCGGCCACGGAGCAAGCAAAGCCGAGTGACAGTGCACAGGCGGCTTGCCTGCCAAGTGGGGCGCCTTCGGGCATATACACTGATGGAGCCAGAGCCCAATGTCTTCCGCCTGAGGCTTACGGTGGAGTGCTGGGTCCCGTAGGCATTTATCAGCTGCCCTCAGAGAGCTTTGTAACGTGACAGAGCAGGGCAGAGAAGGCCTGCCTCTGGGCACGGCCCATGAGAGGCTGCTCTGGCTGGGCAAACTGTGCCCTGAGCACTTCTGACCCTGGGTTACAGGCTGCTGACTCCCCTTAAAGCCCAGAACTGTGGGTGGGGTGTCTGAGGTCTGCGGCCACTGCAGGGAACTCTCATGCCCCGCTGAGGAGCAGCGGGCACCCTGGGAAGGATGCTAACTGTCCTGTTTTCTGAACTCACACCTGTACACAGCTTGGACAATAACCTCTCTAGATGGCATTCTGATGAATTGTGGGGGTGGGAGGCATCTCCTGCCTGGTGCTTGAAAACTGAAGAAAAGGCGCAGAGAAGGCTCCCTGGTGTGATGGACTGTAGACACAGATGAGCCCCCACTTTGTGGAACACGAGGAAGACACCCCACTCGGAAGGAAGTCAGACCTGCTGCGACGAGGACAAAACTTGTCATGAACTAATGCTAAATGTCAAAATCAGACGTCTGGCCTAAATACACGTCAGCAAGAATCTCTGTTCTAATGAGAGGAGATAGTTGACTCTCGGTCACTTCGTACCAGAGTAGCCAGTGTGGGTACCCCGGCCCACCCCAAGTGCAGGCAGTTCCAGGCCTATGTTGGGTTAGAGCTGAAGTCGAACCTGGGAAGGGGGAGCTGGTCAGTGTAGATGCTGGCCGTTTCATCCCCCTCCCAGCACACCCCCGTCACCGGGGCTCACCCCTCCCTGTCCGTCGTGATCAAGGAGACCAAGTCTGCATTCACACCCGGCAAACAGTGTGGAGTCGAACTATCCATGGACTGACAGGCGGCCAGATGGACGGACTGCAGCATTCTCACCTCAAGTGGCCAATGGTATGTGTCTCTAAAATGTAAACATAAGAACCAACAATACCTCACTTTACTACAACTTCTGGCATCAAGAAGTTTAAACACAAAGTTGCCAGTGAGGGAACTACCACTCATTGCAACTCCAAGGTGACC